AATGAACTGTAATAAACTTGAGATTAAAAGCATTGTGAAGCTATGCATTGATTATGCATTTGATATGTTCCTCTAAATGTAGATTAAACTGAACAAATAGATATGGAAATATGGCTCCCTCCTTTCTAAATCACTAAGATACAAAAAATCTTAATTGTTAGATTTCACGTTATTTTCTTCTTCATCTTTAGAGGACTTTCATCACTGAGACAAGAGGCTTGGATTATAGGTTATATTATCACATTGTCTTTTTACAAAATATTCTGTCTTCAGACAGAATGTAATATAACGTAAAGCAAAAGAACAACCTTTTGTCAACCTGTAATTATGTACTTGCCAAGATTTAAAGAGCAATGTTCAGTTAGAAATAACTTGGAATCTTACCGATGATTTCAATAAGCTTAACTATTGTAGAGATATAAGTTATTTTAAGAATAAAAACAAACTCTTACTTGGTCCTCAAAGGAGATTGCCTGGGCAACATCTCTGGGAAATCCGTCAATTACTATACCATCTTCATCAGGGATCTGCATTAATCTCTGCTTTATCTCAGTTATGGTTGTTTCCTTTCACAGACAAAAGAAGTCAGTTATTTAATATCGTGAAGGAGGTTTTCTTGATGGTGCACATTAATACAGCATGTACAAATTCTTTGAAAGCAAACACTAACACAGGATACACTGTACCTGAGGGGCCAGTTCTCCCGTAGTAATTATTTTGGCAATTAGACTCCATTTTCTATTGCTGCTTGTGCTGTGGATCTTCTTCCTTAACAATTCACCAACTGATATGTAGTTAAATCCATAACGTTCTGCTATTTTCAAACTTTGTGTTCCTTTACCACTTCCTGGGCCACCTATTGGTAATTATGAGAAAAACATTAAATGAGCATTTCATCTGAAGCACCCAATCAAAATTTTCCAACCATTATTAGAGCAAATCTTGTGGTTGCATGACTTGTTATCAGCCATTTAGAGCTGGGTCTCATCTACCTGGTCATAAAGGTAACAGTTTGTAAAACAAAGTAAAAAAAAGAATACAAATCTACTTGCGAATTAGAAATAAACATGTTCGTTTAAGCTTGACCTTATTTCAAAGCTGTTCCTGGAAAGGAATTTTTCTTGATTTGTAGTAGAGGAAGAGACAAATGAATTGATCCTTTCTTGAACTCGGTGAATCCAAAGATAGAGCCAGATAGTCTGAAGCATATTCATGTCAGAAAGAATCATACTTGGTTAAACAAGCCAATGAAATCAACGGACTGGTCATGAAATGGAACTGATAGAATCTGCCCCTAAATATGCTTCCACAAGTTTCTGAGGTTTTTTAATTTTAAAATACAGAAAAATATTAAATAATCAGCTGAGGTGTTTCCATAGTGATTTGGTACAAAGACTTTTATTGAACCACACATACTTCTGGTATTGATGCTTGAAGCATCCGACAAAGAAGCAATTTGTTACGTTCAGCTTGCTGGACAACTGGAAGAATAAAGAGACCCTTCAATATAGCACAGGCAGAATAGGTATCAAAATCAAAGAAAACAGCTACATTACACAGCAGGGAATGCTGAAGTGAAGGTCAGCTGGACAGCAGAAGCAAGAATGCATGTAAAACAAATCAGACTATGTCTGAAATAAAGGGACACGTTATGATGTGAAGCACAGAGAAACTGGAATCCAGTATGTAAAAACAGGGAATTGTTTTGATTAAAATAAACGTTTATATATAGAAAAAGGTATGTGACTGAATAGCAGAACGAAGCATAACCAAAAAAAATGTTTTGATATTAATTCCCAACACTAAGTAGCTACATTCTGAGGAATTGTGTGTGAGAACATTGAATTTTATTTCAAGAGATAAAGAATTAAGATTTATTAAAAATGTTATATGCATTTTCTATGAACTTTAAAAAATACAGCAAGGCAATGAAAGCAAATATGAATACAATGAGCTTCTTGTTAGTAATCGTATAAGCGTTTCTTATATTATCTGTATTACGCCCATAAATAGCTTCTAGGCATTTATATAATTAATACAGTTTTGACTGCAGGATAAGCTGTATGACATTGCTTCATATATGGTTATGACACTCCCTGTGTAACCAGGTTCAAACCTGTGCCCCAGTACTACATGTCAGAGAGCTTTCAGTGTCACCAGTAGTCACTAGGAACTCTTCTGTACCCCTGACGCTGTGATGGTAACTCTCCACCTGGCCTTTGCAATCAGATTGGGACCCATTTGAAGAGAATGCACAGGAAAACTTGCATATTGTTAAGGTGTTCTCATATGCTGCCCACAGTTTAGTTATGCCCTTGGGAAAAAAGCTTTCTCATTATCCAATTAGTTTAAATAATGCTTAAATCAAGCCAGGTTAAGACAAATGCAAATATAAGCATTTATCTGTAGCATCCAACTAGTCAATACAGCCACAGATGTTCATAAAACACATAAGCAAAGAAATGAAAGAAAAACTATCTTATCTCTGTACAGTAAGGTTACAACTGAAAAATATTTTTCCCTCATTCGGTTCACCTGCTGTTTCTCTCCTAAAAAAGCACGTGCTTTCTCTTTTCTTTCAGCAGATTATGTTAGGTTTCACAGCTGCTCTTCCATTTCAGTTCTTCTAGGTAATATAGATGGGCTCAGTTTTTTCAGCTTGAACTCTCTCTTTCATGGACAGTTTAGCTATCCTCTTCCTTAGAATAAAGGATGTTTCCCTCTTGTAGACACACAAGCATCTGATATACTAGGAATCATCTCCACTGAAGTGGCTACAAAGCACTTCTGCTTTGGCTCTCCCTGCTCCCTTTGATGCCTCGCTTAGCCTTGCCCATGACAAATGCATTTCCCCAAACCCTACGTTATGTTTCACTGCTGTAAGGAGTATCAAAAACATACCTGATACAAATGTTCAAACAATGTCATGTAGTTTACAGTTTATTACACGCTCTCAGTAATCTGGAATGATAGTAGGTTTGGAGTAACTGATTCCCAGTGTCTTTTTTCTTACATAGATGAAAACAACAGCACAAAGAAGTGCAGCTAATTGTTTGATGATTGCTGCCAGTTCACACGGAGCAGATTTTGCCAGGCGAATGAATAGGATTATCACTTGTTACTAGAATGTCTACTCACTGAGTGTAAAGATTTCCATAAGCAATCCTCTCTCTATACATAAAGCCACACACTGCAATCTAATATGCATAACATAAATAATGTATCTTATATATGTGTGTGTTTATACATACATGTAACATTTATTATTATGGATTTATGTGACTTTATTTACTGGCAATAATCCTAACTACTGGAAAAAAGAGGTGGTAGGTTGTGACTGTGCTTCACAGCAAAAGGTTTATAAAACACACTAGAGCCAATGCTGTGCTTAATTCCTGTAAACATAAAACTTCCAAGAAAGGAAATTCAGTTTATTTTCCTGGAGACTCAAAACAAGTTTGAAATAGACTATGTTGCACCTCAGAAACAATAAAGATGCAAAACATATATAGGTAACAGAAAATTAGAAACAGAAAATTTGATAACAAGGAAAATTGTATCCCTAGCCTAGCAGAGATAGATACAAAAGATGCCAGAAAAACAGAACTGTTACTTGAATAAACACCAGTCTCTGTAAAACCATAAAATACCTGAAAAAAAATTTTCAAAACTGAGTAGATAGACTTTACACTCCTGTTAGGGAAAGCTTTGCTTTGCCATTAAAGAGAAGCAGGAAAAGTGTAATTCAGCAATTCTGTTCTTTAAATTTAGATTTGCAAGCAGAAAAAAACACAAAGTATTTGCTTTAATGTTCATAAACTTCTCATACAGTTTGTTTTCCTCAATTCAAAAATACCCCTTTTTAGCAGGATGGGATTATCCATATACAATCTAAGAGGAAACACTCAGGTAATAAAATAAGAGAAAAGTGATAGGACAAAATTATTTCCCTCAGCAAATGATTATAATTCATTGAACTATGTATCCATTCCTAACTCTTTAATAAATCATCCTGACAAACCATTCACAAGGAAAATCGAATCACTTTTGGTTTTCATTCTTTTCACTTATTCTGAGATTATACATTATTCAAGAAAAGCATTATTATTTTACATACTTCTTAGAAGATGTCTAGACTAGGAACATTTGTTGCATCTAAAATGATGTTTGCTAGCTGGTTTCAAGTGAGGATTTGTATGCCTGAAAAGTTTTACTAAAGCAGTTGTTTTAATCTAGTTTTGTCGATGGAAGTTCAAAATTTCAATTTTTTTGTATCAATACTAAAAATATGTTTGTCAAAATATGTTAGAAGCACATTTTTAAACACAATCTAGTTTCCTAGTGTAATAACGCCTTAGAAACTTAATTTTCCCGTGATTCAGAGGTGTGTGCCATCCTGGCCAGTTCCATCTGATTTTTCTAAAATCCAGTCACATACTCATTTTGCAGCTTTGTAGCTTTACATTTCACCTGAAGACTTTTCTGCAAACACAGAAAAAGAACAAAATCCTCACCTTTACAAGCGAGTTCACTTTTGCCTTGGAGCTACCTGGTTCGTTATAAGGATGACAGATTTCATAAAGCAAAGAAGCTGTAAAAACCTTTATGGAAGCATTAAAAAGATCTTGAACTAATGCATTATTAAAGAAAAGTTCACCTAATATGAGAAGCAGAAGACAGGTCTTTCACTTCTGTTCATTTCAGTTCCCAACAATGAATGGGACCAGTACCATTTGGTAGTATGGTTAGTTATCGCTAGTTAGACACAAAGAGCTTGCTTAACTGAAGTTTTCACTGGCGTTTTATGCAAATTGAAAAATATGCAACATATTTTTTGTGTACCATATTTGTCTCTTGAGATTAATAGTACACTTTTTTCATTTTCTCTCTTGCATTCAGTATTTTAGTTATTCTTTTATTCTTCTTAATGTGTGTTTTCATGTGCTTTCTCAATAGAAAGTTGAATTTGGGAGAAATTTTCTTGATACTGTACAAAATTGTGTTTCTATCAGATCACACTATAATAGACAGATTCAGAGAAACTCAGATGGAAAATAAACCTGAAATAGCCTTTGTGGAATGTTTACGATGTTCCCTATGAAACGGGGGACAAAAAAAAATCTCTGCAAAATCCATGGTCTGGTCACAATATGCTGGCGTTCAAGGATTTCACTTCAAATATCCCTGCACTCAGTTAAAGAGGTGAAAGTCAGTCTCTCTTTGTTTCATGTAGATCAAACTTCCATTCATCACTACTGCAATAGAGCTACATGGATTAAGAGCCTTCTGCGGTCACTGAAAAGGAGCCAGTTTTTCTCCTTTATGAAAAGGAAGGCTAGCTAATTAATTAAGTTGAAAGGCAGGCATGTGTTATTTCTCCATCTAATGCAAGCTTTATAGTTCAACGGTGCATGGAGAGATTTGCATGTTGAGATTTGTAATTCCAAAACAAAAGATTGAGAAAATTCAAATGCCTAAGCAATTCTTTTGGCATAACACAAATATCTAGGAAAATGCTTGGTTTTCTGTTTTCAGTATATTCCAGTATCACATTTCCAAGAACTGCTAGATGCAGAGCCTGGAGGACATGCTGTTCTTAGAGATCCCCCTCTGTAATACAGACAAGACATTGTCTCTTACTGTGCCACATACTAGTCTCTGTTACGGAAGCGATATCTCTGTTTAATATGAATAAGGCTTTGTAGACTAAAAATGTGATTCTCCATCACCCGGCACCTGTGCTGTAACTATTTAAACGGTTCAGAGAATCAGAAAATTAGGCCTGGCAATAAAATCTCAAAAGACAACTATCCTAGATGATAAGGAAACTAATTTGAAGAACTTAAATTCAGAAACAGAACAAAACAAAATGTTGATTTAGACTTAAACTGCAGCTATTTCTTAATAAGCAGTATGCTCGTCTGAGGCTGGAAAGTAGGAGTTGCTTAGAAAGGACACTAAACAGCACACAAGAGAGAACCTGGGGAGAGAGCACAATTAACTAATGGTAACTGATCACTTGCTCTCCCTGAAGATGGCACAGGATTCATTCGCCAAACAGACCTAGGGATGAATTTATCGATGCAATGGACAAGTGACCATGTACACTCACTCCATCTAGACAGACTGATCAGTTTTCAAGGTTCTAAATATAGAGGACAACAGTTCCCTACCACCTTTCTGAGCAGGCTTATCCAATATTTTTAAATATCCTTTTTTGGGACTTTTAAGCACATCGGCAATAGTGTTTCAGTTCAGATTTGGAGCACACTTTGGAATCACATGGTAAAATTATTTTGAAATGCATGAGTCGGGTTTGTTTCAGATTAAATCAAACTGGCAGATGTGCTCCATAAGCAAACCATGAGCTCTTCAGTTGCTAATGGGCATCCGTACAGAACATGACCACAAGTGCTCATTGTAACTCCCAAAACGCTTCCAGTTGGGATGCTATATCCTCAGCACTAACAATTTCACTTTCTGATACACTCTAATTGGGCTGCACCACTTGCTACGGCAGATGGAATTGTTTTTAAATACATATAGGCATTCAATGTATTTGCAGTACAAATAAAAAGGCAAAGTAACAAAGATAAAATCTTGTCTAAATGACTCTGCCTTCATACCTATGACAAGGATAATTTTCGGTCGAGGTCTTGCAGGATCAAATACATCGTACTCCTCAATTAGCTCAGCAGTTTCAGAGAGGTCGGTGTCACTTTCTATTGAAAACTGTTGGATTGGAGGGAGTCGGTCATACCGTCGGTATGGGAAGTTAGAATTATCAGGCATCACTGTAAAATAGTAAGATAAACTATGAATTGTGAAAATTCACAGAAAACTTAAAATCTCTTGTGCATACAGATTTAAGTAAGTAAAATAAATTAACATAAAGTATAAATATTTTCTAATTTTACAATGTGCTTGCTATTATTATATTAAATATTTGTTGCCTCTATTTAGCTGATTTATTTTATTGGAACAAGTAGGAGTCAGTTTTCTTTGGTGTTTCTTTACAAGCACATCAGCTTTTCTGTGAAAATCTGCCCATAGCACCCAGAGTTCAGCAGTGGCCTTTAAGAAGAAAAGTGTTGCATTGTGCAGGTAACCTTTACTATTAAGCAGAACACTTTTGGTGACACATGTACATAGAGATAGAGAGAGTATTCTTGCTAATTAGTTTACGAAATGCTGCATGACAAGGAAGAATAACTATGGCAACTGAAAGATGAAATAATTACTCTTTGATAACATTACAAATAAAATAATTACAGGAATTGGTATGACATTTGCTTAGATTTTATGAGATGCATGTTTTTGTAAGTGTTTATCATTTACATTGTATTTAGTAAATTAGCATATAGCTCCAATATAAACTAGAGAAACAACCTGGTGTAACTGCATTGAAGTTACTATGTATGTCATCCATAAGGACCAACCGAAAATATAAACCAAATGCACTGAGTTAACTTTACCCCTATCTTTGCAAATGTTTTAGGTAGGATATGAGAATTCTCTCCACTAATGTGTTAAACATTTACACAGAGAACATCCATCGTTAGGCTGCAAAATTATCACAATTTCCTCTCCTGCATAGCATTGTTAGGGGAGGAGAAAAACAAATGCCAATATGCAAGAAAACTGAAGCCTTGAGTCCTTTGCCTAAGGAAAATCAGAATAAGGCATGATCTGCTCTAGAAATAAGTATAAAATAACTCAGTAGTGGACATAAAACCACCCACAGCACAAGAAATACAATCACTTTTACACTTAAAACATTACCATTTCTGAAAAATGACCTCCTGGATTGTCCTCCATTGAGTGGAGGCAGGGTCTTCTTTTCTGGGCTGACAAAAGTGTCCCATTTCACTTTTTCTGACCCTCCAAGCTCTTTCACTTTCTGCAAACAGCTTTCCAAATATTCAATTGGGTCGTCGGGTTTGTAACACATTAATCCATTCAACAGACTCTACAACATAAAATCAGAAATACACACTATAATGATAGATGCCAGGGAAAAACAAGCACTTTTACTTTGAATTTTACTCTACACAGAGAAACACCATATTCTTTGTATATACAGACTCTCCATTTCAAGCCAATGCGTGAGAGTGAGGCCTGCAAAAATTGTATGATTTTGGTTTGCCCATGTCACACAAACGATTCAGAACAGGAAGCTCGTGGCAATGTCTTCATATTTGTCTGCCTGCGCTGTAATAAAAACTGAAAATAGTATAAAAGTTCTCTACATTTTCCTTAGGACTACCACTGGCAAAGATATGCAGAGTAATGCACAAGCTAGACAGCCCCAAAGGTTACATATTCTGTGCGGCCTATTCGATCACTGAAATGTATCTTTTCCTTAAAGACCAGTGCACCCACAAGTATCTCATCCGTATTCTTGAGTCAACACTCACACACATAATGAAAAAAAGATTTTTAAAAATCACGATAAATACTCAAATATGATCTTGATCAGTATTGGAAAAAACACCAAACCCAAAGTTCATAGGAGCTTCTAGATTTGATTGACCAGAAATTCCCAGTCTTTAGAAAATCCCTGTCCACAGTATTAATTCTGCACCCATTGTACCTATGGGCATTATGAGGAGCGTGGAAGAAGGAATGTCAGGCCCTCCTCTGACATATCGTAATCGATTTTCCTTGACAAAATGATACATAAGTCATCATCTCACCTCTCCACAAACCAACTGCATCCAACCTTCTCTTCACAATAAATGTCTTTTAGGATGATTTCTGGTCCTTTGTGCTTTTCCCAATTTTCATGCAAATAAACTTGAGGGTCACAGTTTATATTAGTAACAGACAGAAATAGCTCCAATTCACGATCCGCTCAGTAGTTATCTACAGTTTGTACAATAACTGTTATTTACACACATTTGTATTTACAAAATAGGATAAATTTTTATGCATCTATGCCGTTATTCTGCCACTTAACCGATCACCGCAACTAGCCATATATTTTTGCAGAAGATATGCACCATTTTTTAAAAATTGCTCGCTCAAGCTTTGAGCCTTTACAGAAAAACAGTTTTGTCTGCATCTCCTGTTAAACCATTCACATTTTAAATGTTCTAGCAAAACATTAGCATGTTCTATGTCCTATAATTTTCAAATACATAAAAAATATCTAGCTTCAGAACAGACCAGGAAAAATACATATGTGTCTGCGTGTGTGCTTTATATAGATGACAGGATGTCTGATTTGGAAAAAAAATAAT